GGGGCGGGGCCAGGGCCCCGTGGCGTGTCCTCTTTTTTATTTTTTAAATATGGTAACCCTAAATACAGTAAAGACAGCACTGTGAAGAAATCACTGTTGTAACAGTGCAAACGAGGAGGATAGGAGGGGTGGAAAACAGGGAAGAAAGTTTCTAAATATAGAGGTCACTAGTGGATTCTCCACAATGTGCCTGACTTGTCTTGCTGGATCCTTGTCACCCTTATCTATCCCTTTAATTGGGGTAAGCGAAAGGATCCACAGAAAAGCTTCTGATGGCAGGGGTGAAAGTAAGGCGGTACGGGCCAGGAAAAATGGCATACCAGTAAAAAGTGGCTGCCTGTACCAGCCCATACCACTGACTTTAAAGCCCCTTTTGCCCCCTCCGGCCACCGACGGGGGGGCAGCGGCCGGAGCCCTGGGCCCTTTAAATCACTGCTGGCGGCGTGGGCGAGCTGGCTGGGGGACCCTGACCCCCCAGCCCTGCCCCTTCTGCACAAGGCCCTGCCCCTTCCGGGGGGCAAAGCTGCCCCCTCCCCGTACCGGTAAGAGATAAACTTTACTTTCACCCCTGTCTGATGGTCAGAATGGTGACAGGGGTGGGGATTGGAAATCAGGATTCCCAGTTTCCCATTGGGCTAGGTGCTTAGGACCGCAAATTCGAAACTGGCTTCTCGTTTGAGTTGAATTTTGGAGTCCCCAGGTTGAGAAACCTACGACTTGATTTTTCCAAGGGTGCTGTGCATGCAGAGCTCCTGCTCACTCCCATAGGAACTGCCAATCCTCAGCGCTTATAAAAATCAGACCCCTCCCAAATTTTCAAACTTGGTACTTAAAATTAGGCACCAACTAAGCAGTCAAAATGAGAAGCCAGCTTTTGAAAATGTAGACCTCTGTTTCCCTTAGTTCAGGGGTGGCCAACCTGTGGCTCTGGAGCCACATGCAGCTCTTCAGAAGTTAATTTGCGGCTCCTTGTATAGGCACCGGGGCTGGCGCTACAGGTGCCAACTTTCCAATGGGCCGGGGGGTGCTCACTGCTCAACCCCTGGCTCTGCCCCAGGCCCCGGCCCCCCACTCCACCCCTTCCCGCCCCCTCCCCTGAGCCTGCCATGCCCTTGCTCCTCCCCCTCCCCCCAGAGCCTCCTGCATGCCACGAAACAGCTGATCAGGAGGTGCGGGGAGGGAGAGGGAGGCGCTGATCGGTGGGGCTGCCAGTGGGTGGGAGTCACTGGGAGCGGGGGGGGAGCTGATGGGGGGCTGCTGACGTATTACTGTCTCTCTTTGGCAATGTACATTGGTAAATTCTGGCTCCTTCTCAGGCTCAGATTGGCCACCCTTGCCTTAGTTCATCTGTAAAATGGGTATAATGATGCCTACCCACTCCCTGGGATTTGAGGACATTTCATTAATGTGGGAGAAGTACTCTAAGATCCTTGATGAATGGTGTAATGTAAATAGAGAGAATTATTATAATTACAGCATAAATACCAGATCTTGAGCTGGTATCAATTGATGCAGCTCTATTGACTTTCATGGAGCTATGCCATTTTGTACCATCTGACGACCTGGCCCTCCAAGTTTAATAAATCATGAAGAAGAGATGGGGGAAGGGAAATTATGCTCACTGGGCTGCAATGGCATTAATGAAAACCCTTTGCTCTTGGGTTCTAATAGAAAATGTGGCTAATTTCCCTAGATTTTTTTTTTTTTAAAGAGGACCAAAATGAAAGAAACATCCAGAATTGTAAAATGCTTCTGGCAACTAATGTAAATTTGCACTGGAAATTTCGGTCTGTTCTAGCAAAAAACACAGAAAAAGAAAACCACATTATTTTTGCAGAGATTCTTTTATCACACATCAACATCTGCCAGGAGTTCAGCTAGACTGCTACGCTAATTGACTTTGAAGTATTCGTTTTTCCAGAGCAAAACTCAGCATTCGCTGGAAAGAATGATATCAATTTACCATTCCATTTTGTCAGGATTCCTCTAAAAAAGCTGGTTGGTGAACCCTGGAGGAGGTTTTAAAAGGTCAATATTCACCTACCAGTGCCTGGCACTACTTTCACATTTCCTTCTCCAGCTGCCATGGATCTGGTATCGGAGACTGTGGAAGAGTGAAGGAAAGCTACGTAAGACGTTAATATAGCTAGACATGAGCAGGTGTTTGTGGAGCAGGTTTCTTCTTGAAAGGTGTCGTCCAAACCATAAAAAAGGAAAGTTTAAATTTTAATTCTTTAATATTAGCCTGTGGAATGCCTCTTCTAGGTCTTCTACTGAAAAAGATCCATTTAAACTCTTGATTTCATTACCAGCTGGGTCATAAGAACATAAGGTAAGAACGGCCATACTGGGTCAGACCAATGGTCCATCTAGCCCAATATCCTGTCTTCTGACAGTGGCCGTTGCCAGATGCTTCAGAGGGAATGAACAAAACGGGACAATTTATTGGGAATAGAAAGGAATGGAAAACACAGCAAACTCTTTGATGAAATGTTATACTGCATATTTTTTTGACATTTTAATTTTAATTTTGAAGTTTTCTGAGCAGGTCAATTTGGGGATTTTTTTCTCCCTAACTACCAGTTTTAGTAAGGAGAATATAACCCAGAAGTTTCGTCTGCAGAAGGTGACCATGGAAGCAATGGGTTCTGATAGCAAAACCGAACTGTTTAATATTTCTTTGGTACTTGTCTTCAAAGTTAAGCATGTGCTTACATGTTTTTCTGAATCGGGGCCTAAATGAAACCCAGGTCTAATCCAGTCCAAGAACTCTCAACAGCTATCAAAGTATTCATGCCATTCCTAGCACCCGGGTCTACCAATGCAAACTAGCTTCTCCCCATGGCCAATCCAAACACTAGCCGTGCCCTCCATCCCAAATACATCCAAACTTCATACATCAAACTCTCTCAGATCAGTGCCTGGATATCCTGCCTTAATCCAGCCAAGTTAGTGTGTGTACACAAAGATGTTGACAAATACTGGTATCTACAATGTACATCTCATCTTATCCCTTGAAAGCTTACTACGAGGAGTATTTTTCAGCGGAAAGGAAAGGAACCCTTGCTTCATTCTTCCTCACTCATACCTCTCTCATAGGTTGCATGGTGCAAAAGACTTGTAAAATCTTCATTAATCAGTACAGGTTCCGGGAGATTTATCGATCGGAACGGACTGCCTTGTAGAGGAGTAGGCACCGTTTGTGACCCGTGTTCATCCTTTTGTGTTCTTCTGTGAAAATAAAGAGAGGCAACTGGAAAGCACAATACCACAGAGCAAACTTTCATCTTAAACTGTCATCATGGCAAACTTCAATACAAACACGAGCACTCATACAAACCCAGGACAACTGAGGAGGCACTCCGGGCCCAGCACCTGGGCTTGCCTGAGGAAGTTGCATTGGATAGAGTTCACTAACATGACTCTGGGAGCACCTTCTCCTGGCTGCAGGACAGTGTCATGCCAGATACGTTCTTAGATATTTAGCCAAGTAACTAAGGGCTGGGTGCACAAAAGGAGTTAGGTGTTGGGATGTGTCCAACACCTAGAAAATCCCTGAGATTCACAAAGGGGATGTTATTTGTGTGGCCTGGAAAACGAGCCCCCCCGGGTGTCCCACACAGTGCATCTAGGCGCAAGTGGGCTTTGGGGCACACATAATTCACATCTGTAACTGCATGAGCCAGGGGAGTAGCTAACACCAGCTGCTTTGCGTTGCCTTATCAGAGCAGCGGTTTCGCAAAGCGGCAGGCAGTCACGTAGCAGCATTCTGGGGCTTTTGGCATTGCACCAGCAACGTGCACCCAGCTCTCTCTCTGGCCATCTGGCAGCTCAGCCAAGAGGGGAAAGTGGATGATGAATGGAGAGACACTCCCCCACAACAGGATGCACGTGCCATGGGCTCGCTTTGCTGCGGAACAAGTGCAAGGTGTGCAATGGTCCACGCAAGAGACACAAGCTATTCAGAACCCTTGCAAGGAGTTGCAATAGATAAGGAGAATTTCACACAGGAAACACAGTGTACCTGGCAGGCTACAATCTCCACTGACTAAGGGTCCAACAGACTTTTCCTATTCTGTCCTACCGAGGTTCTTATACCACGCTCACCACTATAGTATCTGAGCGCCTTCAAGCTGTGCAGTAAGTGATGTGGCTAACATCCGTTAGGATTCTCATCCCTGGATGGGTCTCTGTCTGCTGTTACCAGCAGCACACAGCAGCTTCCGAATGCTGTCAGCAGGAGGGCTAGTAACTATAACAACAACATGCCCCCAGCAGACAGCACCAGCAGCAAGTTGTCCCAGGTGCTACGGATTCCCCATGGCAGCCAGCTTAGGGAGTGAGGGGACCAGCAAGCATCCCATTCTGTCAGTGTACAGGTCAACTGTCACCTCAACCACCTCGTCACAGAGATGCTGGCACAGTACCCACATGCACTGCATGAGTCGTATGTACTTGGATTGCCTTGCCTGGTAGAGGAAGCTGCATGGTGGCATTATACCAGTACACACACTACTATTGTCTGCAATACTCCTAAGGGTCCGTCTTTTGTAATATTGTCCGTGGGATTTTCAAAAGAGGCTAAGTGACTTGGGAGCATAGTTGCCATTGACTTTAGAGGGATTGTATAATACTGTATGCCATTGGCTTCCAATGGGACTGAGTGATACTGTATGCCATTGACTTCCAATGGAACTTGTGCTCCTAAAGCACTTTTGAAAAATTTACCCTACATTTTTAAACAGTTCTATATTTTTCAGTAAAACCTTAGGTGAGGTTTACCTTGAAGTTACTCAAGTCACTTTTCACTAACTCTGTTGGATCAACAATGAGGACGTTAAAGCTGTTAATCATTTCTCTGGTGTGTTGGATACGTAGAACATCTCATCTGAAATGCTTGATGTGCCTCTAGAGGCCAGCATCTTCTCTACTCTACAGGGAATACAGATGTCTCCAGAAATGAAGCTAGTCTGCACTAATGGAGGCCACTGCTAATTAACAATGAGCACTTCAGGACACTCTAGATTTAGTTCCTTACTTAGTTTTCACTTTCCGGGATTCCCGACGTTTCTCTTGTTGCAGCTGTTCAATTTTCTGTTGCATTTCCTCTTGCTTGGCACTGATCACTTCAATCTTTGACTTGGCATCACTGAGCTCCTCCTAAAACGCAGAATAAATTCAAACATCACTTAGAGAATTTAGATACTAATGCTCCCTGGTCGTGATGGAATGCCTGGAATGATACTATGCTCATGAGTACAGTCCACATTGATTAGAAATTACTGGAATAAAACTATTGGTCAGATGATTATTCTCTTGCAGTTACAGCATGTATCACGTACATGCTGTGGTTTTGGACATGTAGACGTATTATCCAGCATGTATTGGAAATCTCTGCCACGACCTCTGTTACTGGAGTATGTTTGGGCACCTTAACCAGCATGAGAAAGGAAGCTCTTGTAAGGCAGAGAGAGACAGAGTCAAAGGGCCTCATTCAAAGCCCATTAAAGTCAATGGAACGACTCCCAATGTCTTTAATGGCCTTTGGATGAGAGACGCAGAGAGCAGCTGGTAGTGCCCTCATGCAGTCCTCATCCCACAATGGGGTCACTCACATGTAAGTATTTGCAGGATCGGGAACTTAGTTTGCTTTTTTTTATTTTTAAATTATCTATTTAACCTTTTTCCCATATAACTCCATATGGGTGGGTGGGGTGGGAGGAGCTAGAGGTGGTGCTGCAGAGCTGGGGGAATCCATCACCAGGAGTTTAAGCCATCTCTCCCCCTGCTGTGCACTGCCAGAGAGGTGCAAAGCTTCTAGACTGGGGGCCAGGATCTGCCCCAAGGCTGGAGTTTCAGTGTTGCTCAGGCGTTTCTCTCCCACTGAAATCAATGAGCCCAACTTTCTGAATGACTTTAGCCCACCCTTAGAGGGTTTTATCTGAGTTCATTTATCTACATGTTCTGTTTCCCTCTCATGAAAGCAGACAGGCTCTGTTCGAGCTTCAATATGACTCTGTTGCAATGCCCTTCAGCGACGACCTACAAAACCCCTGCTCTATAGCAATGCCCTTCAGCGACGACCTACAAACCCCCTGCTCTCAGGCACTGGCTGTGCAGTAGTTCTGTGAGGGACATAGGTATACTCGTTATCAAGACTCATTTTCACTTGTGACCTATGATATGACGGGACTGGCTCTGAGTCTCTACAGTTGAGTCCAGCTAGTTAATTAATCCAATGTGATAAGCAGCCGCACCCAGAATATGAGGTCCAAGTAGTTCATTTTCTCTGTTTGTTTTAGTTTCTCATTTCTGGGCTTGGCCTGTAGCTGCATGCTCTTTCATGCTGTTCAGAACAGGAGAGGGTGTTGTGGCATATTTAAAAACGGGGTTAAAATTGTAGGCTCGCATTATAAATGATAAGGGGTTTTCCTAGTCTCGCTTGCAGCCTAGGGGACTTTGTAGGGATGTGTGAAATCTGAGCCTAGCAACAATCAGTCTGCTGCCAGACAGCCAAAGTGGGTTGAGTTGTCCTCTCTGTGGTAGGGAGCAGCCTGCTTAGTCTCTCTCTGTTTTGGGGTTCTTATGTTTTGTTCTCAGTTCTAAGAAATAAAGTCATGTTACATTGCAGTCTTCTAGCAAGGACACTTACGTTTTTATTAAAGACCTCTGTGAGCCTGCACTGAATGTAACAGGTGTCTGAGGAATGTAACAGGTGTGAATAGCTCCTACCTTGAAAGAGTTCAGCGAATTCTTCATCTCTGACACTTTCTCTTCCATTGTGCAGTGACAGCTCTTAACCTTCTCCTCCAGAGCATACTCTCCATGCTGAATTCTTGAAAGTTCCTGCATTGCTTCAGTGAAACCAGTTTTTAGTTCAGAGGCCAGTGCCTGCAACTAAAAGGAACCAGAAACAATGTGAATCCAAGCCCTCCTAACCTGCTGTTAGTAGCAGTGTCCCTTAAGTTCATCAGAACCTCAATTTGGCATGAGGACACAAGGGCTTATCTAACCCACTCATTGTGGTGCTCGGCAGTAGCGTAGCTAGGGGGGAGCAGGGAGAGCGGCCGCTCCCCCTGAGCACATTCCCCAAAAGTGGCGCCTTTTTAACTCACTCACAAAAAAACGTGCCACCCGCTGTGGCGCGGTCTTCGGCGGCGGGACCTTCACTCACTCCGCGGGGCTTCGGTGGCATTTCGGCGGCGGGTCCTTCAGTGCCGCCGGAGACACCCGGAGCTAGTGAAGGGCCCGCCGCCGCCGAAGACCCGGAGCGCCGCCCCGTCAGTAAAAGCGCCGCTGGGTGAGTAAAAGCGCCGCAGTGGGTGGCGCCTTTTATTCTGATCTCTCCCCCTGTTCCTTCCACCTGGCTACGCCACTGGTGCTCGGCCCTCATCTAAGGGTGCCTGGGCCACAGGGGTTGATAAGCCTGTTACTTGGCTTGGCTAATAGACCTAAATCATTTAGCTCAGGCAGTAACAGCTCATACCTTTAGATCCAGAAGTTCTCAGGTTCAATTCCTTCTCAAACTACAGTCTGTTCACCTCTGAAAGGAGGGAAAAGCTAGTCTGAGGGGAAAGGTGGCCTGGATATTAAGGACAGTAAATGGCACCTAACATATTTGCATAACAAAACAGTCAAAAGTTAACAAGCAGTCAACAAATTAAACCATTCTTGAGCAAGACCCTCCTCAGATCGCAAGGCGCCAACTCTCCTCAGGCAGGCTTAACGCTGATTTCTAAAATGGAGAGTTTCCCTTGCTCCTCGAGGGTCAGTCATGCCTTCTCCCTCTGTGGGAGAAGTGGGGAGCACCTGTCCTACCCCAGTGGGAGCTCCTGGCACACACATTGACTGTGGTTTGTATTGCAGTAGTACATTCAGCTCCTGGCTCCATTCGGAGAGTGTGACCGACAGCACCCCTGAATTCACACCCTACACACCATTGTAATAATCTTTGTACAAAATATGCCTTGTGAAGTATCATTTGAAAACTAATAACTCTCTGGTCAATAATATCATGGTAAAATGTCTGTAGCAACATTATATGTAAAGTTATGAAATCCCCCTCTATGATGTTATTAGCACATGTCCAAAACCACACAGCCCTGCCTAGGCAACGTCTGTTAAACAGGCCTGTTCTAAACAAAGGAATGTGTGTTTACTTCAGTTTCCATAAAAGTAGTAAATAGGGTCCTTGAGACAGCAGAGGGAGGAAATGGCAGGGGACAAAGCAAATTTGCATTTCAGCAAACCCAGGTGGGAAGAAAGAACATGGATCCTTTTTCACCACCAGACTCCTTGTCACTTCCTTTACTGTTTGCATAAACTTTCCTTTGAAGGCTAATCTTCAGAAGAATCCATTTCAAAGGTTCACTGGACTATAAGAGAGAAGGGCAGAGAACCCCAAGTTCTTTCACCTGAGAAGACACAGGCACCAGCACCTTTGGGCCTCTGGGAGAGATCCTGACCAAGTAGTCAGTCACCATCTTGCTGGAAGACTGTAGGTGAGAAAGGTCATCTTGAGCAAAAGCCTTGAACCAAAACTTGCTAGATTAAGTTTTAGACTTTTAGATGTGTGTTTTAGCTTTTAGTTGCTGGTAACCACTTCTAACTTCAGCTCTTATATTTGAATTCACTTTAAAACTATCTTCTCTTGTTAATAAACTTGTTTTATTGTTTTAATCTAAACCAATCCAGTGCTGTGTTTAAACTGAACTGTTTGGTAACTCCAGTTTAAGTAGCAAACTGTTGCTTATTGTATAGGAGCAACTTAACTTTAATATCTGAACTGTCCAGGAGAGAGCTTGACAGTGCAGAACACACATTTTGGGGAAATTTGGGGTCACCCTCCAAAAAATAACCAAGGCTGGTGGAAGGCGGAGTATGACTAGTGTGTTGCTGCCAGGCGGCTGGACCAGGGCTACGGTTATACACAGACACTCAGGGTGTAACCTGCGTGGTGGCAGGCTGTTTGTGAGTGGCCCAGGCTGGGAGCTACAACAGCAAAGCATTGTGAGGCACCCAGGGTCACAGGGCAGGCGGTGACACAACCCCTCACTGATCAGGATTGCACCCCAGAATGTGAGAGTGATGTAGTCAAAGCAGGATTTATACAAAGCTTGTTGTTTTAACTGAGGTTTGCACTTCAATCACTGGTGTAACACTTTTAAGTGATTCTCAAGTGTGGTGGGTGGGAACAGTCAAAAGAAAGGTTACAGCTTTATTATTTTCTGTTTGTTTATTTCAGGAAAGGAAAATAGAACAAAAGTAAAGCGTCAACATGGGCGACAACGAAGCAACTACCAAGTGAGAGCTGGTCGGGCTGGAGAATGAGCAGAAAGACCACGAATGTGGACACCAAATATGGTTAGCTGAGCAGAAAGTGGGAAGCAGAGATGAGAGCCAAGGAGAGGGGGGCAGAAAGGCAGCAGCACATTGGCGGGCCGTGGAGCTGAAAGAGATGGAAGCCCAAGAAAAGGGAAGACTGCCGGCCCGGAGCATAAGGGACAGGCAGGACAGATTCCACCATCCCCAGCTACTCCCTCCATCCAAGGAACAGCCAGCTGGGATAAGTCGTGCCCTGCATACAAGGAAACAGACTGTACTGAAGAATACCTCATCACTTTTGAAAGGCTAAGTGAACTACGTAACGTTCCAGAAGACAGGCCAGTCCCCAGACTGATTGCACAACTCCTGGGTAAAGCTTTAAATGTATTGAATGAAATGGTGATTGGAGACGCTTTGATATATCCTGAATTTAAAAAAGCTGTCTTGCAAAGGTTTCAAATGACCCCTGAGGTGTACAGGTTGAAATTTAGAAATCTCAGGAAAAGTGCTGGAATGAGTCAGAATGAGTGCCTATAAAATGTGTGACCTAATGAGGAATGCAATATGGGATACATCTTTAAATCCTCTACAGGAAGTTGCCATCCTTTGATAAGAAACTTATTATTCTTTTCTCTATAAATAGATCTAAGTGCTGTGGTGCTAAGCAAAGTGCTGGTCCTGAGCTGAATCTTTCAAACTGGGAACAAGAGGCCTGGTAGTTCTGAGGGTGTCCAGGGGATAAAGGGCTGGATGCTGCAGGGACACTCTGAGGACTCGGGAGTTGGTGTGTGCCTATTGCTACTGGTACACAGAGAGCGAGAACTGAGGAGGCCTGGAGGGCAGTGCTTGTGTTGCCAGAGATTGGTGGTTTCTGGGAGCTGTTTCACAGCAAGCACAGATACGTCTTCCTTATGCTAAGGGTCAGTGGTGGTGAGGTGCATCACAACCCTAGGTACCCCGGGCAGCGTCTGTTCCAAATCTACCCTTAATTCCATCCATCATCTCTGTTCAATCCCTGGACATGCACTTCCAGAGTTATTTGGGAAGGGGGAAAAAAGCAGAATGAAATAGGAATTTCCACAGGATTATAGTGGTGCCCCCTTTGTCTGCCTCAATCATAATGAATACATTAATGGGGGCCAACCAACAATTCTCCAACACCACCTACTATAACAAACTCAAAGACAACCCCACACCACAGTTTACCCAATTTAAGGATATCATCAAATCCTTCCCCAGATAAACAAGGGAACCCAGGCAGACCCATTATATCTGGCCACGGCACTCTTACTGAAGCAATATCGGGACTCATAGACGCTATCCTCAAACCACTCTTCACACACAGGGCCAGCTTCCTCCAGGACACAACCTACTTTCTCAACAAACTCCGCAACATCAACAACCTCCCTCAGAACACCTTCCTTGCTACCATGGATGTCACCTCCCTATACACCAACATCCCTCACAAAGACAGCATCGCTGCCCGCCTCAAATATTTACAAGACAGTGGACAACCCTCAGATCTCCACTCCAAACACATTGTCAAACTCATCCATTTCATCCTCCCCCATAACAATTTTACATTCAACAACAAATGCTTTGTGTCCAAACCATGGAAACAGCCAAGGGTACTATGATGGCTCCCCAATATCCCAACCTCTTTGTGGCACCTTGAAGAATTTCTGGACAAATGCACCATGAAATCAATGATATACCTGAGATACATTGATGATATTTTCATCATCTGGACAAATGACTTCAGCTCCCTCATGGATTTCCATCACAACTTCAACAATCACCATCCTTCTATTAAACTCTCTCTGGAACACTCCCACACCAGCATCCACTTCCTGGATACCATGAAGAACTTCAACAATGGAACTCTACAGGCAACTATATACAAGAAACCCACAGATCACCACAACTACTTCATAGATCTAGTAACCACCTCAAACACACCAAGAAATCTGTTATCTACAGCCAGGCACTGAGATACTACAGAATATGCTCTGAGGAGAAAATTCAGGATATACATCTTAACACACTCAAAACTGCCTTCTCCAAACAAGGACACTGCACCAGAGAAGTAGATAGCACCATGGAACAGGCCACCCAAATACCCAGAGAAAACCTGCTTCAATACAGAAATAAAACCCGCTCTGTCTGCACCAGGCACCAGACCATGCCAGAACAGCAGATGCAAAACCTGCAAACAAATCTCCACTTCTATGATGATCAACACCCCCCCCCCCACAAGACACCTTTCAAGATCCATGGGTCCTACACATCCCTATCACAACATGTGGTGTACCTCATCCAGTGCACTAAATGCCCCAATAGTAACTATGTGTAAGAAACCAGACCATCACTATGCTCTCGAATGAACTCATACAGGAAAATGATAAAAGACAAAAACACCATATCACCTGTGGGTGAACCCTTTTCACAAAGCCATCAATCTATATCTGATCTATCTGTCCTCATCCTCGAAAGAAACCTGCAGAACACTTTCAAAAGATGAGCCTGGGAGTTTAAATTCATAACTTTGCTAGACACTAAAAAACATGGACTGTTTCCCCCCTGCCTTCATGACTGGAGGGATGTTAATGGGTCACGTCACCTGGAATGGTCCCTTGAAATGTATGTTGTTTACTTACGAAAAACAATCTGTTCAAATCTTGTATTTAGCAGTGACACCTTGAGTTAGTTCCCAGACGTGAAGAAGAGCTCTGTTTCGTTCGAAAGCTTGTCTCTCTCACCGACAGAAGTTGGTCCAATAAAAGATATTACCTTGTCTCTCCAATATCCTGGGGCCAACATGGCTGCAACAACAACTGCGTACCACACAGGGTATTATTAACTATACTGTTTGGAAACAATTCATACAAGAAACTAGGCCTGAAAACTTCCCTCTCCCAACTACATTATTATTAATTATTACTATTATTTATTATTATTTTAGTTGCCTCACCAGGCCTCAACCAAGCATCATTGTGTGTCTCCTACCCTCTTATGCTGCTGTTCTGAAGTTATAAATAAATGGTACATTACTCAGCACATGGCTCTCATCTCTTGTTAATGAGCCCATATGCAAATTGTAATTTCACAGAAATATTACTGCCAGGACTTTCCGCAAACCCTAAGCACCTGGGCAATTTCAGTTAATTTTCCCCCTTATCCCCAGTGGAACGGCCTGATGCCTTGTCCTATGATGGACTAGCTAATAGCTATACTACCATTAGATGCTAGAAGAGCTACTAGAGTCTTACATTTATTGATGACCGTGTTTCTAATGGCAGAGATTAGTACCCCGTCTGGTCCTAGAGTTATACACCGAATCCTCACCTGGTGTAAATCAGTGTAACTCGATTGACGTCAGGGACTTGAAATCAGTGGGGCTATGCTGCGTTACGCAAGCTGGAGGATCTGGCCCTAGAACTGTTACTAGCAGCACAGGGAGGGAAGGATAGTAGTGGCAAAGAGGGAAAAGGAAGGGGAAAGTGGCAAGGGTAAGAGCAACAGTGGGGGATGGAAGTGTTGAAACTATGCTACAAGCAGTCTGCATTTTAAAACTATTCCCCACAACTTGTACATTTTTATTTTTTTTTGTAAACTGCAGTTAAAATGGGGCATCACTGCAATTTGAAGAAAGTTCCATCATAGAGCTGGGAACTTTATACTGAATGATTAACACAGACCCAGATCTTTGGCAATAGACAAGGAGCAGAGTGCAGCTCAGGAAGGGAAGGAGCAACCCCCCTACTGAAGCCAATGTGCTTGAGTGTTCATCAGCTGTCTCCCGTTTTGCACTCACAAGCGTGTGTGCACCCAAATGATGGGATGGTGACATCTAATTACTTGGCTGAGATCACAAATCAGTCATCTAACTTGCACCTGGCTGTGAGCAAAGAGGTCAGACGGAAGCACCTTTCAGAAGGACGGCCAATTCATAACATTTGTCCATGCAATGTGCACATCTGCCTTTATTTTTCCTTTGAATGAATTTTGGTTGTAAAGACTATTAATCTGTTCTTCATTCTTTAAACTTGGAATTATTCAGGGCATATTGCTTGTCTTTACCTGAGAAATCTGTGTTGCAGGGTTACTCACTGGCACATTTTCAGTTTCTCCTGTGGGAATAAAGAACTGCAGTCAATTAAAATGACTTATTATGATGGCTATAAATAACTGGAGCAGAGTGCTGTGCCATCCTCCGCAGATGCAAATCTCTTTTCAGGACTTAGTCCTGTTCTGGGAGATGTGGAGACCACATAGTTTGCAAAATCAGCTGCAGTTATAACATGAGAATTGCCAGAGTGGATCAGCCCAGAGGTCCATTTCGTACAGTATCCAATCTCTCACAATAGCCAGGTCTGGATACTTCATATGAAACTGCAGGAAACCCCCTAGTACACAATGATGACTCCTGCCCACTAAGAGTTCCTTCCTAACCACCATCAGTTAGTAGTTGGTGTATGCCCTGAAGCATTATGGTTTATTATTATTAAAAATTCTGGTTTTTTTTAAATCCTATCTACGTGTTCCCATTATCGATATAAATTTTTCAATCCTTCTTTAGCATCCTTTCGAGCTCTTGGCCTTTGTTATGTTTTGTGGCAATGAGTTCCACAGGTTAATTGTGTTGTGGGTTTTTTAAAAAAGTATTTCCTTTTATTAGCTTCAAATGTGCTGGTTTCAGTTTAATTGAATTCCCCCTTGCTCTTGTATTATGAGACAGGGTTTAAGATTTTTCAAAAGCACTTATGTGATTTAGAAGCATAAATCCCATTTTCAAAAGTGACTTAGATGCTTAGGTGATTTACTCTAGGGCTGATTGAAAATTTTTCATCGACACTGTTCTTTGATGGAAAATTGGGTTTTGGTTTAAATGATTTTTTTCCAAAAAGTCTCATTTCTGCAGAAAGCTGATTTTTCCACTGAAGACCTTGCATGATGAAGGAAGGCATTTTGGACACTTGAATAGTAAGAAGCAGGGACTATTGGCCCACATTAGCAAGGGATGGAGAGGAATATTATAAGAATCGTGCCAGATGTTTAGCTCCGAAGACAGCACCCAAATCATCTGTCCAGTTAGTTAACATCCATAGCAAGGGACCCATGAATCTTGTGTGTATTGACTTTCTGTCCTTAGAACCTGAGAACAAAGGGAACACTAACGTATTAGTGGTAATGGATCATTTCACTTGATACGCCCAAGCGTCCCCCAATGTGCTACCCACTGTAGCCAAGATATTATGGGACAAGTACTTTGTGCACTATGGTTGGCCTGCCAGAATCCACTCTGATCAGGGGCATGACTTTGAAAGTAGACTTATCAAAGAAATATTACAAATAATTTGGGATCAAACCTGAGACCTCTTGCTCTTAATGCATAAGCCTCTACTACCTGAGCTAAAAGACACCTCTGTCAGCCAAGCCTGTAGCAGGCTCATCAGCTTCCTGCTGGCCTAGGAACTAACTACTAGAGGGGGACAGAGTGCCACATTGAGCAGGCATGGTTTACTTGTATCTGTTATACCTTGTAAAATTGCCAATTATAGAGCATCCACCACCATCCTTGGTAAGTTGTTCCAAAGGTTAATTACCCTCACTGTTAAAAATGTATGCCATAGTTCCAGTCTGAATGTGTCTACTTTCAACATTGGATCTTCTTATACCTTTGTCAGCTAGAGTGAAGAGCCCATTATTAAATATTTGATCCCCATGTAGGTACTTTTAGACTGTTGCCGAGTCACCCCTTAACCTTCTCTTTGTTAAGCTAAATAGATTGAGCTCTGTTGTGATAATTGGACCTAAAAACTTACCCTGGTTGCATTCAGCTGTAAAAAATGAGTGTAAGTGCATAACATGTCCCAATAACTTACAACAACAAATGTTTATAGGAAAAGGTATGAAATGGACAAAAAGACGGAATGAACAAACAAAAAGGCCTGCTGCTGTAACTCAGGGACTGGGATCATGCCTGGTAAGCAAGAAGAGTGTGGAACCAGAAATCAGTGAACCCAAACTGGTGTGTTGGAAACTAGCCCTAATTGATGGACAAAATAATGAAGGGACAGGCTATTGTACCCACCATTCCCTTCCTGGGTCCTTAAAGAAAGAGACCTTGGGAGGAAAACTGGCTACTAGACTGAACCTTACCATCATGGCCGCTACACCCACCATCTCCTAGGACCCCAGTCCTGAGAGAGAACCGGGCCAAAGAGGGACCCAGATGACACCAGCACCTCTACTGGCTCTGGCTGAATCCTGAATACAACCTGGGATGTGAGACTTTGTCTCTCTCCCCCCCATGGGTATCCTTTTCCTTCTCCACTCTATTTCTTCTCTTTCCCATCCCCCTCCTTTTTCCTTCTAACAAGACTCTGGCATAGCCAGCCAAGACTGTGTATTTTGCAACATAGCTGTAAGCCTGAGACCAAAAAAAGGCAGCTGAAAGCAATGCCCTAAACAGCCAGATGCTAGTATGAGTTTTGGCGTGGCTAATCAGACCATGTGCTGTGCTTGTGTTTATCCAGTAATGAAGTGGCAAGTAAGAGTCAACACCAGACACACACAGATTTCCTATCTTTGCTGTTCTTTTCTTTCCCCTTTTGCGGGTTTGTTTCTTGTTTTGTCTTCTACAAAACAGGCTCAGACTTTAACAACAACAGCAGCAATGACAGCTCCAACCCATCTCAACTAGCTGCTTCTCTTTTCCCCAAAAGGGCAGTTATTACCATCTTTAATACCACCTTAAAGACTGTCAAATGGCTTATTTCCTTCTAAAGCCTCTCTCTAGCCAAAGGGAAAGGGAACAAGGGATGTTGTTACACTGAAAGCCGTATTTAATAATTTACATTTCAAATGCTTTAACTGTATTTCTTTCTTTTCTGTATCTTTAATAAACTATTAAAAGGCTGTTTGATGGTGTGTTTGCCGTGGTACTAAGCAGGCTGAGGTCTCTGTATACCAAACCCTGGACCTTGTTTAACACTGTGTAATGTTGGATGGAGTGACTGGCTCATATTAACACCGTTGGCCCATATTCCACCTAAGTGAATACAACAGCTCCTGGACTCTGTCATTGTAAGGCAAGTTTTTCTAATCCTTTAATCAATCTCATTGTCAGAGCAGTGCTAATACGTGGAGAGCTCGGAGAGCAGGTGAAAAGACCGGGGCATATGTTGGTACATGCCGATACTTTTCCTTTGTTCTGTTACTATTGGTTTCTCTGATGCTGGCCTGTGACACTTAATTCATGCAGCATCTGCACTGAATTCCCACCCTGTATCTGATTCTGGGGTTTAAGCGAGCTCCGTTTATGGGATCAGTGAACAGGTATCCTACTTCCAAGGACCTTGTTGCCACACATATGAAGTAGGAAGCTAAAGACTGAGGGCTAGGTTGTTCCTAGCCCTAATGCGACTGCGCAGGGGAGGAGGAGTGGACATGTTAGAGCTTCCTGGATCGCAACTCCCAGCACTCAAAGAAGTACAGGGGCTGCACCTCAGAGCAAGTGGCTGCAAATTGTTCCCCGCAGTGCAATTGGGGAGCTTTCTGAGGCGCAGTGTCTTCCAGCATCCTCCTTGGGCAGCCTTGCTCAGCCCCTCTGTGCCTTAAACAACATAATCGAGCCCTGATTAGTTTGCCCCTGGGGGAGAACTGGACGACTGTCAAGGAAAACAGGGCACCTGTGCATTGCCCTATTATAGTTTGTGATGTCCTGATTCAGGGAAACGAGCTAATTCTCCATGGAATAATGGAAATAAGAGACAGCAGAATTATTAGGTCTTCACGTTCATCTCTTCCCTACACACATACACATTCCGACATTGTCGGGTGTGTTGTCCAGCCTAGTTTTAGTTGTGCCTCCAGCCCTAAAGGTCTGGTGAGTGTGTTGCAACACTCTCAGGACTGGTCTGCATTGCTTGATGCCGAACCTGTCTGATGAAATAAGAGAAAGAGGCAGTATGCAAGGTACAGTGATGTGCGGTATTGCCAACCTCACTCAGCACCCTGAAATCATGAGATTGGCCTAAAAAATTATGATTTTTTTTTTTATTTTTTAAAAACAGGGTTCTTTGCTTTGCTTTCTGGCGCTGGCCCTGCAGGGTGCACTCAGGTCACATTTTCAAGATTTTCACCGCAACCATGAGAACTAGAAACATACTTCTGTTTTAAAATGCAAGCTGAGTGTCTCACAAACTCACATGATCCAGGAACTAGGTCTTTGAGAAAAAAAATCCAATATGGTGAGATTAGCACTTAAATCCCCAGCCTGAGGGGGAGTGTGTGTGATCCCCCGGCTGTCTCCCCCCAGCCTGAGGGGGAGTGTGTGTGATCCCCCGGCTGTCTCCCCCCGCCTGAGGGAAGCGCGGGTGATCCCCCGGTTGTCTCCCCCCATCTGAAGGGAGCACGGGTGACCCCCTGACTGTCTGTCCCGCCATCTGAGGGGAGCGCAGGCAACCCCCCGGCTGTCTCCCTCCGCCTGAGGGGAGCGTGGGCAACCCCCCGACTGTCCCGCCGCCTGAGGGGAGCACAGGCAATCCCCCGGCTGTCTCCCCCCACCTGAGGGAAGCGCGGGCGACCCCCCCCAGCTGTCTCCCCTTTCCTGTTTTATTATAATAGATTTATAGATTTGTACTAGAGTATTTTGGCAGTAACATGAGGAACCTACAGGTCGCATCCTGTATGATGAGCTGAAGCAAGTTAGTATACTTATGCTTTTTACCTTTGGCATAGATAAGGGGCCAACCGATTGCCCTCTATAAACTTAACAGGTATACCACAAAAAACAGGGCAACCACCACCACCAAACCAGTTCAGGCCAGAAATAACAGATGTGTGACTGAACTAATTGTCATGAATACCTATGACTATGCCATGTTACACAGGGCAGAAAGGGTTACACAGCTAGCAGGCTAATTGACCCAGATTCAACCTTTAGAGACATATTAGTAGATAATTTTTGTGTGTTTACATATATATTCTGAGAAGTTAACAATGTAACCAAACAGTTCCTGTCTATCACTATATTCTGTTAATTCAGAGATCAAAAGATTGAAATGAACTGTAAATGTAGTGATATCACTGTCTTAACTTCTCTTTGAAGTTTGTGGTAAATCACCTGCAAATGGCAGGAAATAGGCAATTGCCTTATGTTAATCCATGTAGCTAATTACCGGTGATGCTTAGGAAATAGGAGGTGTACTTCAAAGCTAGGATGATTGCCTATTGTTCACCCAAGGACTGCATGCTGTCAAGAGGCTTCCCCGGGAACTGTATTCAGTTCTCTTGGGACCTGATCCTTTCATCTCAAATCGCCTTATGCTTCATCAGGGGAAGCTTGAGTTCCATTCTGGAGCACCCTGATATTAAACACTGGACTGAACCCATGGACTCATTCTGAAAGAACTCTTTGCAACTCTATAGCTCACCATCTCTACTATGAAACTGACCTAAGAACTCTATTCATGTCTGTATGTATAATGATCTTTTATCCAACACACACTCTTATTTTTTAATAAATTTTAGTTTAGTTAATAAGAATTGGCTGTAAGCATATATTTGGGTAAGATCTGAAATATTCATTTACCTGGAGGGTAATGTATCTGATCCTTTGGGATTGGTTAGAACTATTTTATACGATGAACAAGATTTTCAGTAATCCTCATCATATTGACTTGGCTGTCTGGGTGGAAGCCCAAGGCTGGGTTGCTTTAAAGGAACCATATTCTGGCTTGTGAGTAACCAGTAAGGTATTGTAAAAGCTGTTTTGTTGCTGGCTGGGTGAATCAAAGTATTGGAATAACCACCAGTTTTGGGGATTATCTGCCCCATTCTTTGCAGTTTGAGCAATCTCTGTGTGGCCCTCCTGGGACTCCAGTCACAGCCAATCTATAGAGTAAGCGTAACCTAACATTGTGTGGATGAGGAAATTAAGTTTGGATATGGAAGGTGAGCATACAGTTCTCAGTCTCTATAAGAGTGGCAAATCACCATGTTTAGTTAGTTAATTTTAGTCAGGTTTTAAGTTAGCTTCTCTTGGGTCTTTCTATAGCTTTCTAGCTCTCTAGCTTCTCTTAAGTTCTTCATCTTCCACTCGAGAATTGAGGAACCTGGAGCATCGGACTCTTTGACATGCCAGAGGAGAGGCTGGTCCTTTGTCTCTTACACCAGGCTATCAAGAGACCGTGTGAGTATATTAATCTAATCAAATGTACCTCTAGAACAGTATTATTATTATTCTGTAATTGTGATTGATTACTTTTCCCTTTATGTCAATAAAAGTCTTTAAGACTATTTCTGTTCTCAGTGTGAGTGTCTTTGTCATACATCCCCAGGGTCCTTGCAAAACTCTGTGTAGCCTGATTCTGGGACAAGAACCATATTATCTTCTGATCAGATTAATTGGTGAGCCTATAACCCATATTATATAAACAATAATATTAATCCCCTAAAATCAGGCAACAGTGAGGATTTATTTTAATAAATACAGCTTAAAAAAGACAATGGGGAAATTAATTTGGGAGCTCAAAGGCAAATGCAATTGTTAAGTAATCTAGGCACTGATGCTCCACTGATGGATCCAGCAGAGAGGAGCCGGGAGTGTGAATAAGAGGGAGAGGGCTCAGCTGCTATTGGAACTCCTCTGACGACATAATCCGGGAAGTGAACTCCTCTTTGAATCCAGTGGTTTTGTATTTAGGAATGCTGGATCCAGGAGTTGATGAGCTAATGGGGAAAGACTTGGTCACTTCTCTGACGTCTTAATACGAAGGGCTCAAGGGTGACTCTGTGGCACTGTGCCCCAAGGAAAAGGTGATTCAGGGATGCACCCCCTGGGAAGCTCAGGGAGGCAGAATTATTTCCAGAGGGAGAGTGATCAGGGGTGTGTGAAGGCAGCACTCTTTCTCCTGAGCTCCTACCCAATTCCTCAGGCCAGTGCAGACATGAGAGAGGAAGGGCCATGGCTCCCCTCCTCCTCTGCCTCCTTTGGAGTGTTTTCTCATGCTGGTTTGTTACACATGGGACCCAATCCAAAGCCCACCAAAGTCAGTGGGGGTCTTTCCATTGGCTTCAGTGGGTGTGGATCAGGATCACTTCTATGAAGTGCTGACTCTACATCAGATTCTGTAGCCTCCTCCTGAGCAGGGGCAGATGGGGAAGGGCTCCGGACACCCTCCCCCCAACCATTGCACTGTTCAGAGCAGAGCTCCTCTTTAAGGTCAGCGGGTATCCAGCTGAAATCCCCACTTACCACTGGAAATTCGCCACACGCATCGGGTCCAGGGCATAGCACGCTAACAGAGCTGGGGAAAGTTAGATACTTGGGCTACCTTCTCATTTTCTGCTGTGACACCAAATGAATCTCAGCAGTCTGTGGGGATATCAACGAATTGAAGGCATCCTGGAGTAAATTTCCATTTCAGCTGGGACTGAGTGCACAGGCCTAATTTAGTAAAACTAATTAAAAAAATTAACCCCATTGTTCCTATGCTTAATTTAATTTACCTGTGGAGATACAGCCCAGAATCTGGAGGAGAAAATACAAATGTACTCTGCTCTCATTTATGCCCTTCCTCTGAAATCCTTTTGCACCATCGGAATTTGACCCTTTCTGAGAAAGGTCAGAGACTGTAGGACCAAAGCCTGGCTCTTGTCCATTGCTCAAACTTACACACTAATACCACAGCTGAATCAATATATACTTAAATACTTTAGCTTTTTCTAATGCTTTTTCTATCTGTCATCCTAAAAGATCTGAAGCCATAGGTTCAGCAGTTACTTCACCAACACAGAAATGCAGCCACCTCTGAAGCGGCGAGTGGCAGCTCCTCCACAGCAGACAGCAACATCACACAACAGTTTAAGATGGAAAATGAAGAACACTGTATCCAAATGAAGCTGCAAGAAGAATTCAGGCAGGCCAGTGAAAGCTGAAGTCCTGAACCTGCAACCACTTAAGCATGTGCTTACCTGTACGTACAAGAGAAGTCCTGTTGACTTCAAGGGACTACCCATATGCATAAAGCTAAGTATATACTGAAGTGATTGCAGGATTGGGGCATAAATTGGAATTTGGTCACAGAACATTGAGGTTAACATTCAACCCTCTTGTGAAAATTGACTTGAGATCGTCAAGGGCTCAAGACCTTATGTCTCTTGGTAAAGACTTCGCCTCCAACAGCAGGGTGTCCGTGTAGGCCAGGATGCTTTAGTACTGCTTTGGCATTGGTTTTGACTCCAAATACGATGTATCTCAAATAAATAAACTAAAAACAAACCATTTTAAATGGGTTCTGTTCTAAATTCCAAAGCTATGGAGTAAGGACCTACCCTTGCATGTATCTCTGCACAGAACTGAAATATACAGGAGTTTTGCATGTGAAAGAACTGTATGATCTAACCGCAACTTTTCCAAAACACAGTTATTCGTTTCCATTCACCCCAGCCCCACAGGGTTTTAACAGCATATGGGTAGGTATAAGGAATGAATGAATGAGGCCCCAATTCTGCAAGGGCCTTAAGCACATGCTTTATTTTAAGCAGCCAGTGCTTAAAGTTAGGCATGTGCTTAAGTAGCCTGTAGAACTGGGGCCGAAGACCTATGTGATCTAAAATGCTTTCATTAATAAAATCAGCTTTTCCCCAGGTGAGTCATTCACAATTCATTGTCCGATTCTCAAACTGAAAATATCTGCAAGACAAAGAATGTGACCGATATGAAGCCCTTGTCGGTCTCCTTTGAACTCCTAATTTCTGTATGGAAATACTTCTTCAAATATGTTCTACATTGGTTATTAGCTTTTACTTGTTAGTAATTTGGCAAG